GAGAAAAAATCCTAACGCCTACAGAGGTGCGCTGCCGAAGCAGGAGCTGAAGCAATGCGGGGGACAGTCTGTTTGCACATTGTTTATTTTCGTGAGGAGGGCAGGCAGAGGCTGGGGTGATGTGACCTCGGTCAGGGAGACCCAGGGGAAGCGCAGAAAGTCCTGTGTGTGGCAGAAAGAAGGCAAATCCCGACTGCTCATCACTGGCTGTGTGACACTGAGGGTGTTACTTACCCTCTCTGGGCTGCAGATACCTCACCTCTGCAGTAGAGATGATGCTGCCAAACCCACCGGGAGGTCATGGCCATTAAAAAGATAACGCCTGCCCTGACCGGTTTGGCTCAGTGGCCAATATTCCCCATATTTTTCACATATCTAAGACCTGGAGTGACCACCCCAGACAGAACACTCCCCTCACCTGGAAAAGGTCCCTGTACCCCCGACAGTCAACACCAGACCCCCCTGCCAGCTCAGAGGTGTCCTGCCCGCCCGCTCTTCAGCGTCACATGAACAGAGTCCGCCAGTACTCCACCCCCGTGGCCGAAACTCGGGTCCCCTCCTTGTCACGTGCATTGGCAAACTGTCCCTTCTGTAACCCTGTGCAGTGTTTTGACTGTGTGACTCTGTCAGCTCGTTCATGCATCCGTTCCGCTGCGGACGGACACGTGTGTTTGGGGTGCCTCTGAGTAAAGCTGCCGAGAGCACACTCGCACGTGTCTGCGGTGGACACGTGTGTCTGCAGAAGTGTGTGGCCGTGTGTGCACTCCCCTCCGCGGCTCACAGAAAGGTCACGTCTCTCACAGGCCTTGCAAAGCACCGACGCTGTAAAAAAAAAAAAAAAAAAGCTAACACCTACAGAGGTGCACAGCCGAAGCAGGAGCTGAAGCAATGTGGGGGACAGTCTGTTTGCACATTGTTTATTTTCTTTAAAAAGGGGGGCCAGGGTCACAAATCACCAATATTCCCCATATTTTTCACATACCTAAGACCTGGAGTGACCACCACCCCAGACAAAACACTCCCCTCACCTGGGAAAGCGTGTGTTTGGGGTGCCTCTGAGTAAAGCTGCCGAGAGCACACTCGCACGTGTCTGCGGTGGACACGTGTGTCTGCAGAAGTGTGTGGCCGTGTGTGCACTCCCCTCCGCGGCTCACAGAAAGGTCACGTCTCTCACAGGCCTTGCAAAGCACCGACGCTG